GGTCAAAAACACGTTACAAGAGCCAAACCACCTCACGCTTCGGCATGAACATCAGACAAAGCCAAGCTTTGGAGCCCTATGCAACTAATAAAGAAGGTTATACACACGAGTAGAACAAACAAACCGGTCTAACATTGCCTAGAAGGAAGCATGCTCGTGCATGGCGGAAGGAAGACAAATGATCAACGCTAAAATGGCAGGTGCAGAATACCGCCGCACACAACGGGCGAAAACAACGTGAACTAGACGGCACCAGGCAGCACCTTGAAGACGCATGAAGAAAAATCCGGACGACCAATGAAAATGCGCCAGCAACACGAGCACAAATACACACCGGTGGAACCACTGTAACTGACTAATACATGGAAGGCCACAGAAGGAAACGCCCTCAGTACAGCTCGGATGCGACCGAACCACACGGAGGAAGTGCACACAGCAGATGAAACGACAGCTTTTGAGAAAGCGGCACCAAGGAAGGCAAACACCACCGGAAGAACAGATACAACCAAGAGGAAAGGAAGACGGTTTACTCTGAACAACGTACGAGAAGGGTTTTTCTCCTTTTACAAGAGCCTCAGGATTGGTGAGGCAAACGAGGCCGGTAACCGTTTCCGAGGGAGCGGAGAGGCGCCGAACGGATGGTCCAGTCCTCTCAGGGTCTTCAGACCCTTCGAGGTGGGAAACAGGGGAGGACGTGGGCACGGGTGCTGATGCCTGACCCGGGACATCCAAGCTCGCTGAACCCACACCTTTTGATTCATCGCTAAAAAGAGCAGGTCCGCCTCCGGTGGGCGGGGTGGTAGGCTGTTCTGTAGTTGCAGTGGTAACATTGGAAGTGGTAGGGGCGGCTGTGGTGCTCGTTGTGGAGATAGGGCAAGTGATGTAGGCGCAGTCAACTGTGGCGCCCTCCTTGGGGTTGTACAAGGCCACGAGCGAGATGTTCTGACTATCATTATACACAGCAGTGTCGTCCTTGTATTCGGGCGGGAGTTCGCCAAAGTTTACGTAGGCTTTTTTCCAATAGGAGACGGCTGCAGAGCA